GAATTAGTAAAAAATCGTTGAAAGTTTTGGAAAAGTCATGGAATTTTGTTGTATGTAATGAAATTGCTACAGTAATCTTCCATGGATAACCTTCTACGTAACATAACAGCAAAGCTGACAATGTAACGTAGCCCTAATATGTATTGATGTTTGACAACTTTTGTTTACCAATACATAAATTTCTCCCATTTTCTCCCCACGTTGTCTCTCTCCCTTCATGTTTGCCAGCTAGCTGAAGTTATGTTTGATTAGCGTTTGAATCTGAAAAATGACGGGCAAGTGGGGCAAGAAAAAAAATATTATGGGTCCTTGAATAGTCATAGAAAAGTTTTGAAATTTTGTCCATGTGTGGGAACCTTGCACATGATCCCAATTATATCTTCAGTGTGGCCAAAGCATGAGAAAATAACCTGAGTGATGTAAGCAGGTGTGAGCATGCTACTGAGTAGCACCTTGTATGGTATCCTTGGCCACCAGTGTGTGAATGTGACTTGTAGTCTAAAAGTGATTTGAGTGGTCCAAAGACTAGAAAGGCGATATACAAGTGCAGTCCATTTACTGTTAAGTTTCTGAAATGTCTGTTTACAAGTCTGTGGGAGTATTATTGCATAGTGGAGAAAAGAAAAAGTTGAAGTGTGATAAATTGCCTCAATTGTCACTTTTTTTGGCTTTGATTTTGATTATACACTCAATTTTCTCTTTTATACATTAATGATACTGCATGCCTCATCTTTTCTACTTGTGTGCAGTATCAGACTGTGTTCTAACTATTTATTTGTTTTAAAGGCGTGGGGATTTGCCTTTCAATATGCGGCGTATCACGAAAAGCTCCGGCCTGGACAGTGATGAGGACTTGGACGTGAAGACTGAAGCACCTGAGCCTGCAGCTGAGTGAACAGAAGAGAGCCAAGAGGGAGATAATACAATGACCACAGTCAATATGCAGATATAGTAAAGCATTAGCCATGCAAGCTATCAAGTTTTTGAGAGGATTTTAGCCTTGTATCCCTCTTTATATTCATCTTATAGCCTTATTGTGACTTTGCATACAATACATTTATATTTGGCCAAATAACAGTTTTCATCTCAGTGAATGCCAAGTGGTGTTTTTCTAAGGTTTTACACAAACTTTCATTGGTCTGTTTTTCTACATAATGGGTATATCATAAAATATTGTGCTTGTAACAAGCCATTGCAATTTCTCAAGTTTTATTGTGCTCAAAAGGTTTATGTGCTGATACTGTACTACTATTTTTGGGAGAAACACTGGACATTTTATGCTTGTTTTGCACACAGATACAGGTCTTTTAAGAGTTTTGACACGGTTACAAGCTGTGGTTCACATTTACTGGTGTCAGTATCAATCTGTTTCTGTACTGTATGCTTTTCCTCTCACTGTGTCATCCTTCCATGTTATTACCTCAACCAATTTTGCACAATGCCAACAGAGACAAAACAAACACGAGAATGGAAACTGTTCAGTGCATCAGAGGTGATGTCGTCCAAAAGGAGCAATGTTGGTGAAAATGTTGGTACAAGTTTTGTACCATCATCTATGATAGGCTGGTTGATGTATCATGTTTCACTGGTTTTACACTTTGATTGTTGGTGGTGGGTCATCATGTAGTAGCTCTCACTGTACTATGTTTTGCGCTATGCTTTGCACAGCAGAGGGGGGGGGTTGTATTAGCACATTAGCCTCTGAATGTTTTCATGCATATTTTAGATTGACTATAGGATACCCTAACAATGTTGTCAAAGACTGTTATCAAAGAAAGTCCATGTCAGACTGATGCCAATATTTTAAGGCTAATCTATATTTTATCAAATGCCTGAAATGCAATAAATTGACAAAATCAAATGCATTTGACTTCCTTGTGTCTTGTGTGAGTTAACTCAGTTTCAAAAGTTATTGGCTTAAAGATTAGGTTTGTGTTTTTTAATGCCTCTGCGCTGACTTTAGCCATGTTTGAAGATATTATGTTTTCAGGTTGTCCATCTTTCCCATTCTTGTGAACATATTTGATGAGCACCATGAGAGAATTTCTTCAAATTTGGCACAAACGTCCACTTAGACTCAAAGAACTGATTAGATTTTGGCTACCAAAGGTCATGGCCACTGTGGCCTTTTCTCATTCTTGTGAACACAATATCTCTAACATTTTAAGGGAATTTTTTTCAAACTTGGCACAAACGTTACTTGGTCTCAAAACTCATAACTTCACATTTAAAATGATGCTGCTGCCATGAGCAAGAGCTGAAACTAAATTCATTGTGTAGTCCTCAAGTCTCAGTAAGCATCCTATTAACAATGGGTGTTTTTGAAATGTAAAACGTATTAACCTTATAGTCTGAGGCTGCACATTCTACTGCAGCCAGTCATTTCTTGAGTCTGAATACAGCTCTCCATATGCATTCATTTGTAATTAAAACCTACACCTATGTGCTCTCTTACTGATAAGCTAAATATCACTGAGTAACTGTAGGGTACTGCAACAGAATACACTCAGTGGATCAGAGATGATATACTCAGGAATATGTTTCAGTTGTGAAGCAGTACTGTGGTAATTACGCAGGCATTGCAAGACTTTTTTCCTAGTATTAAGGGAGAGTCGCCAGTAAAATTGTGACAGGAGGCTTTGTCTCAATTTGTATAGTATAGGGCTACAAGAGGATGAGTGATGAAGATGAAGGTAAGTTTTAAATTGCCAAAACAACTTAAAATCCTACAGAGATCCAAACTGTTTAAATAAGACATAAAATGCTCATTTAATTTCATTGTTATATTTTGTGTCTTTATACACATGTTGTATTTATTTATCCAATTATGATTTGTGATTGTAATGATTCATCTAAAATTTTGCTGTTCTTCTGTTATGGGGAAGTTAAAATTGTTGGATTCTTATTCAAATAGATTTCCAATTATTAAAAGTTTTGCTGATGGAATCAGACTTTTTTGGATCATCATTGATTTTAAGAAGATACCATTAAAATGTGTTGCCAGATAATGCACAATATGAATCACTTTATAACCATGGGTTTATTTTGAGACAATGAGCCCTGGGGCACAGATACGCAAAAGGCTCCATCACAGACAGACTTTAGTTGATTTGCCTCTTTTTTAAATTAATTATTTTGCGTCTCTGTAGTCATAATGCATCTTTTTGTGGTTTGCATCTATTGGAGGTAATTTTGTATGGGGTCATTTTGTCACTCTTTGTGATTGTTGTGCCACTTTTTGTAGTTATGTTGTTTCTTTGCAGTTCATTTGAATCTTTTCGTGGTCACACTGACTGTTTTCCTGGTCAGTATGTGTTAAATAGAGTGACATGTTGCAGGTGAAAGCAAAGGGGGGCCCTAACAGTTTGGGCCCCTGGGTCTGTGGCCAGTAGACCCGTTTAGCGATCAAACCATGTGTAGGCCTATAACTGGTTGGACAATAACTTTTATACCTTTTACTAGTTTTCATATCAGGACTGACACACAGGACAACAGCGACACCCTGTGGTCACAGTATTGAATTACACTGTCCACATGCCGGCTGGTTTTCTGAGAAATTGTAACTGAAACACCAGAATATTAACTATATATATCATACATGTATGTGTACCTTATCATGCAGATCTCGCACACTGACCCCTTTTCCATAACTCACCCATCAAACCGATGCACCGTGTGAAATGATGTGTCGGCACTCTGCCCTGTGAGTGTGTGACACAGTGAGTTGATGTGTGTTGACGCTGCACTGAGGTGAACTTTGCTATCCAGATGCGAACAGTCGCAGCAGCACAGCAAGTAACGCTAACGTCGGTCACTACTACATGACATTTATAACTGCAGTTAAATTTTTCTTTTCTAAGCTTTTGGGATACGACCCCCGTCAGGACATTAATGTAGAAGAGCGCCAGGCTAAAGTTAAATAACTTACTCCAGCGAGCTAACACTGACGTTAGCTAACGTTAGCCGACGAGCATTGCTAGAAAGTTCTGTATTCAGCCTGGCAATATTTGTGTTTACTAACATTAGACTCCTAGGAAACATTGGCAGACTGTCACTGCAAATACTAAACATGGCGTGCCTGAAGCTGGCGGGTTTGACCATCTCCTCCATCACTCCTTAACACACTTCAAAGTCAGGTAAGAGGAACTAGCATGCTAAGCTAGCAAGCTAATGTAGCTAGTCGGTCATGCTGTGTATCTGGTTGAGTGAAGCCTCTTATCTTTCTGAAAACAAACTAGCTATCGTAGCCAGCAGGTTTCACAGCGTTTGCTCTTAGAGTTGAGCATTTTGTTGTTCAGTCGCTTGTCGCTGTATCTGACTTGAAAGTATCCGGCTTGTCAATGTTAGCATGTCCTTACTTAGGATTACTTTGACAGCACATTAGCCTAACTAACGTTAGCTTGATGCTACAGGCTTCATAGAGACTTTGCAAACGACCTTATTGTTTTGAAATGTGACTCACGGCTGCCATTTGATTTTCCCCACTGTTAGAAACGTTGGCTGAAATTAACCAGCTTCAAAACGGCAGCACCAGGGGAGAAACTGGACTCAGCATCCAGGTCAAAGATGGAGTTAGCAGCGGTGAGTGCACCTGCGGGCTGCTGCCACTGTTTGTTATGGTCATCACACAGTCAGTGTACTCAATCTGTCAGTAACAGGGTCAATTAACAGGTATGTTATCAGCATGCTGGTGAAAGATAAAATACAATCGCTTGTAATGTGTGTGTGTGTGTGTGTGTCTGTGTGTGTCTGTCTGTCTGTCTGTCATGACCTTACAATGGCAGTTACACATTTTCACCTTTGACCATTTGACTATCCAACCAAGCTCCAAGTCAAGTGGTTGATGATCACAGAGTAGCACCCACTTTGACTTGATGGCACAGTAGTAGAAAAGAAGTCTATTAAAAAACTATATTACAGCATGCAAGTACTTTTTATTATACTGTCAGTATATGTTGAGATATAGTTATTTTTTGGAAAATCAATTAATTTCAACAAAGTCAAATTTGTAAATTCACACTTAAATCCAATATTACCATGAAACAGTTCTTATTGATTTGCATCGTTGCCCTCAATGGCCTAATGTATCTAGATTGCCTGATATCAGACAGAATTGCAAACTCAGCGCAGTGGGCTGATTGGCCCTAGGCAAATACCTGAGATATGTCAGGATAACTACCATGGTATAAACAGTGTGGCAAAATCTCTGAAGATGGAGACCTTTATATTGTCTCAGGGGACTGCCCACCTTCATTTAAACCCCAAGAAGAAAATCAGCCACCTTTTTAGCTGGTTGCTGATGACATTTGAGACTTGCCAATCCAGAGCAACATTAAACGGCATAAATGCATAATTACTGATTGTTAAAGATTGATCCTCTGCCCTTGGTAATGAGAAAGGCATGCACTTTATTTTAAAATTCAAAAGATGGTTGCTGCCAATGTTTTTAAAGCACTTGATAAACAAATCAAAGCCACAATGTGACAGACTTTTCATGATTCATGATGGTTTGATCTTTACCAAAGATGATACAGAGCTGATGTGGAGAACATACCAGAAACAGGGGTTGATTTCTCTCTTGATTTGACTAAATTGTTGACCTAGCCACACAGGCGGTAAAATCCAGTGTCTGAAATCACCCACACCCACACACACACACACACACACACACACACACACACACACACACACACAGCCACTTCATGACTCATGCCGTTTGACAAAGATGCTCTTTAGCAGTGAGCTTTGCAGAGGGGGGGGAAATACAGATGTGTTAGAGTGTGCCTGAACGATAAAGATAGAAGCCCATAGAAAAACGCAGGCTGGATTAAGCTTCTGCTTTGGCTGTGAAACGGGGGGGAGGGAGGACGAGAGGCAGGAGAAAGCCATTGTGGGTCGGCAGGAGAGAGAGACAGAGAGAGAGGGAGAAGGTTTGTGAGAGAGATGGATGTTTATTTTATAATATGCTATTTGCAATAGCAGCATCAGAGAAAGAGGGAGGTGAAAGAGGGCAAAATGCAGGAAAAGCAGGATTCTCAGTGCCAAGCTCCGGGCAGGAAGGTAGGAGTGCATAATACATGTGTGCATATAAGTAGCACATGTATAAAGGCTAGCTATAGTGTGTATGTCTTGTGTAAAGCAAACAACTTATATAAGATGCAGAATTTTTTATGTGTTGTTTGTTGATGCGATTGTGATTATTTTAATTGCCTGATTATGAGCATTTGTCCCCCTCACCATTTTCTGTGGAACTGTTTACCTTCACTTGCAGCTAAATTTAGTGTCTGTCTGTCGCTGTTTGTGTCTAATGTTTGTTCTTGAGGCATGTAAGCACATATAATGTCAAGTCTTGGTTCAATTCTAGCCAGCAGCCCGTGTGTGTGTGTGTGTGTGTGTGTGTGTGTGTGTGTGTGTGTGTGTGTGTGTGTGTGTGGACGTGGACTGTCTCTGCACATCTCCATCATCTCCACTCTGTGGGAACCTGGCCTCTGCTCTGTGCTACAGGCTTGTTTTTGTTTTTTTTGTACTGGAAACGTCATATAAGCATATTTATATTCCAATAACAGTCTATTATATGAGATTATGTCCATTATTTTGGGTTCTATTTCTGTTGTGTAAGGATTATGTTAATGCACATATTTAAATAATATTTCCCTGCTCTTTGAAGAGGGTCTGTGGCATTCAACAAGATGCCAAGAAAGATGCTGAATGGTGCATTTTCCCGTTATGCCTTTTTACAATGTGACTAATCCTTTACATTTGTCTTTGCCTCGTCCTCTTCTGTCTGTCATCCTCCAACACCCTCCTCTCTGGCCGTCATTCTGATTTCTCTCCACATTATCCCCCCCTCTGCTTCTTTCCCGGCCCACTCTTCGTGTGTGTCTTTCTCCCATGACTTCGTTCTCTAATGTCCCCCTGTCTTTCCTATTCCCTTTTCATCCCTCTGTCTCTCTCCTCTGTTGTCCTTCTCTCTGTCTGTCTTTGTCCTCAGGCTCACCCAGCTCTCAAAGCCTTTATGTGCGGCTCTCTCAGCGGCACCTGCTCTACGCTGCTCTTCCAGCCTTTGGATCTGGTCAAGACGCGGCTGCAGACCCTGCAGAACAATGCCAAGCCTGGGTGTGTGCACACATAACACACAGACACGTCTGATGTGTGTAAACATTCAAACATACACATACACATTTTGCCTGCATGCCACCAGACACAAGTACATCAGCGTGTCTCTGGTGTTATGCCTTGCTCTCCTTTTTTTCTCTCTCAGACTTAGTCCCTCATACACTACATGCTCTCAGACACAAAATAACACACAGCGTGGCAGGACACAATATGCAGGCAGCGCCGGCCTGAATCTGCTGTTATGACCCATATAGGGCAATTAGTCACACCAGCACTATGTAATCATAATGTCAAGGCGCTAGGCTGCAATCAGCCCCGCGGAAACAGGAACAGGAAATGTTAATGACTAAAAGCGGATCTTTATTTTAAACAGCATTCCACAGGTGCCAGTTTCCAGCAGTTATTTTCTGTAGTTAATTATTGTTCTATGATTTATAGTTCCCATCATACAAACTGTCTGTCTCCAAGTGTCCATATGGTTTTTATTTTACATTTGCACCTTTGAATGTGTCTGTAATCCTTCCTAAATTTCAACCTGCAGTGCACCAAAGGTGGGGATGTTCACTGTTTTCATCAACGTTATTAGGACAGAGAAATTCTTCAGTCTGTGGAAGGGAGTTTCACCAGTGAGTAATTAAGTAATTAATTACATTCTTGGTTGATTTTTTTTATTTATTAAGCTTTAAGGTAGCTTTTTAAGGAAATATGAGAAATATTAAACACTTCTGTTTCTCTCTGGCAGTCATTTATGCGCTGCATCCCTGGGGTGGGCATCTACTTCAGCACCTTCTACTCCCTGAAGCAGCACTACTTCCAGGAGCGGGCACCCAGCGCTGGCGAGGCTGTTCTGCTCGGAGCGGGTGCCAGAACTGTGGCTGGTTTCTGCATGCTGCCTTTCACAGTCATCAAGACACGCTTTGAGGTGAGAAGCACTGACCTGAGATGTGCTGTATGATTGGTGGACTTTAATACGTCTCCAGTCATGTCCTCACAGTCAAGTTTCAGTGGATGTTGAATTGTTAACTGGGGCAGTTTACTCTTTAAGGCAGTTGTTAATGTATGATTGCATTTAAGCAATGATTAATGATTTGTCTTTGTAATCTGCTTTTGAACTTCTTTTTTTTTTTCCAGCATTTGTTATGAGCCACATTTGTTTAGTGAGATTTCATCCCAGAATAAAATGCCTTTAGAGGACACATGTTTAAAATAGTTGACAATAAATCCAAAGGTATTGATCCCAAGAAAGTATTTCATTTCTGTAAGACATTGTAACCCAATGAATCACCATTAAACATAGCATCCACAAATGTACGACTAGAATCTACAACTGGTAGTCCACAGCAGTCATCACTCTAGACTTTATGCAGTGTTTCCATGTGATAACACAACTAGTGTCATAAAAGCAATGGTAAATGGTAAATAAATGTGCTCCATATGAATTTTCCATGTTCATATGTTGTTTCAGAGTGGCTGTTACAACTATGTGAGTGTGGCAGGAGCTCTGAGGAGTATGTATGAGACGGAGGGAGTCAGGGCTCTGTTCTCAGGGCTGACTGCCACGCTGCTCCGAGACGCTCCATTCTCTGGCATCTACGTCATGTTCTACAGCCAGGCCAAGAAGGCGCTGCCTCAAGGTGAGAGCCACACTGCACCAGCATCAATAAATCAAAATTGAGGTCATTAAAATGTGAAGCACTGTTTTCTGATGATCTGATGAGCAGCAGGTCATGAAAGTGTTGTCCCTGTATTACAGAAAATGAATCAAGTGTTCAGTGAATGGGTTAGTGCTTTTTAATATTTGGCCTTAAAAGTTTTTTCATGAGCCCATATGGCCAGCACCACAAAATGCCTTTTCATATTTCAATGCACATTTCAATTAAACATTTTAGTTAATTAATTAAACAGAGTAGAAACAGAAAAACCCAGTCGCCTGTTAATGACGCTGTCGGCAAAGCAGTAATGATTGTGCTAAGTGGCTAATGGGCATGTAGCTACTTACATGTTTCAGATGATGGTCCAGTCATATAGGTTTTGATTTATTTTGACAAAGGGCAGCCCCTAATAGTTGTGTGTACACTTGCCAAAGAAACATCAGTCTGTCCTGGTCAGCCATGTTTTTATGTTTACATTTGGCATCATACTCCTGGAACGCTTGGAGGTCGGAAGCTGGTAATTCAATTGGGAAATTCTGACCTTCGACTTTGACAGTAACCCAACAGTCCTCTTCTACTTTCTCCTGATACCTGGTTTCCTTCCTGTCAGAGGTGACTTCTGCGGCCTATGCTCCGCTGGTGAACTTCAGCTGTGGGGTGGTGGCAGGCGTAATGGCGTCGCTCGTCACGCAGCCAGCAGACGTGGTGAAGACCCACATTCAAGTCAGCCCATCCCACTGGAGCATGACGGATGCAATCCACTACATCTACATGGTGCGTGTCCGTTTAATCACAGCTGCCAGTTTTTGTCTTACTGCATGTGCACGCCATTTTCAGAGAGAAGCGGTGCTCATTGGTGTAGCTCAGCAGCTACCTCAGTAACGTATACTGAATCTGTCCTCTCCCTCAGGAGCATGGCATGCGTGGGTTTTTTCGTGGAGCTGTCCCCAGGTCTCTGCGACGCACTCTGATGGCTGCTATGGCTTGGACTGTTTATGAACAGCTGATGGCTCAGATGGGCCTCAAATCCTGAAGAGCATGGGTGTTGAGCAACAATATAACAGGGTGAAATATGAGGGAATAATGATGGACATTATTTCACACTGAAAGACGAAAACACAGCTGAGGAGTCTGTAGAGACAGTGAACCAACAAGATTTGGAGAAGATGAACCAGGTGGATAGATGTGAGCGAGTAAGAATGCTGTGAGTGCGTGTGTGTTATTTAAATGTTTGTGAAAATGTGCCTGTTTGTGTCTGTAAGTTTGAGATTGTGATGTTACACCTGACACACTCTAAATGTCAATCTTGGACTGAAGTGACACTCCCTACTGTGAAGTGATCTTATTCCTCCTCTCATTATTTATGTTTGGACTGCCTGAGGTGTGGCTGCCAGTAAAAAAAAAAAACACCCCTGAGAGAGGGCCTGTGACTGTGCGGCAGCAGAGTTGTCTCACACGGTATTTTAAAATGCTGTTAAGACAAGCGAGCTGATCTACATCTGCTGAGGTAACTAAAAGCAAAGCACTGCAGAGAGAGGCGCTATGGTTTCTGCCATATTTACAAAACTTGTGTAAGATTGAGCAATGTTTCTTTGTTGCCAAGTAACAAGCAGACTTAGATATTTAATTTGTTTGAGGCACGGACAATCACAAGTATTCACACAGTAGCATTATGGGAAGAAAATCACAATATAGCCTTTGATGCGGTACAGCACAATACTATGCTAATTTAAACATGTATTATGATAGTCCTTTACATCAGGGCTTAAAAACATAGCAGAAAAATATTCAGACCTGTTATGGCATTTTGGTCAGATCAGGATTTTGCAGATTTTAATGAGTTTTGTAATTGAAATGCATTTTTTTTTTGTGATAGAAACAGCGATGCAGTTTGCATTGTTTCCTGTCTCTAAAGGGACAGTTCAACCTCAGAATCTAAAATACATATTTTTCCTCTGACCTGTAGTGACATTTATCAGTCTAGATTTTTTTGGTGCGAGTTGCCGAGTGTTGGAGATATCGTCTGTAAAGATGTCTGCCTTCTCTCACAAATAATGGAACTAGATGGCACTGGGCTTGTGGTGCTCAGAGCGCCAAAAATAAAAACAAAAAAACATAAAAACTCAACAGCAATGTCTCTTTCCAGAAATCATGACCCGGTTACTCAAGATAATCCACAGACCTTGTGAGCAGTTTCATGTAGGTAGAAAGAAAAGAGTTCCTACATTAAACTGCTCACAACAAGGTCTGTGGATTATCTTGAGTAACTGGTTCATGATTTTATTGTATTTATTTATTTATTTATTTATTTATTTTCTGAGTGCCATTGAGTTCCATGATTTTTGAGAGAAGACATCTCTACGGTCGATATCTCCAACACTCTAACCCACACCAAAACATCTAGATTGATAGATACCTCAACAGGTAAGAGGAAAAATATGTATTTCTAAATTTGAGTACTGTCTCTTTAAGAAAGCACTTTTATAATTTGACTTTTTTTCTACACGTTAGATAAATATTTTAACGACAGGGCGAAATTGCTGTTTACTTCAGATTTTGTTAGTCAGTCACCTCACTTCCTGTGAGCATTTTTCCTTAACATTAAGCTTGCAAGTGAAGCATTGCTTCATCAATGTGCTACTGTGTTTATAGAAGTTACAGAATCCTCATCAGTGCTGGCGAGATGTGACTCTTGATGTGTTCCAGTGTCTTCCTGGCTTTGTAAATATTTGACTTAATAGAGAAATATTGGTTGTAACAAACGAAGGCCCTATTTTTATGTTCATTGTACAGTCTGCCCTTCGCTATTAATATTATTTATAATTACTAATATAAAAAAAAGAGGTGATATATATGTTTATAGAAATAATGCCAAATGGAGGATCTCTTAAGTGGAGGAGATTGAAGACGTAAACAAAATGGATCACTACACACAACGTGTAAACACACTGAAGGTATTTGGAAGTCTTGGTAACATGACAGAAAGGTCACTGACGTCCAGTGTGATGTAACGTTGTAAAGGTAGTGAAGCAGAAAGAGACATTTAATGACATGAGTTGATTTCAGTGTTTGCTGTGTATCTAACTGTGCCCTTCATGTGCCGTAATTCACACATGGAAGTTTTACCTCGTCAGTTATCTTCATCATCACGCCACTCCTGTTGTCTTCGTCGATCCTCTAGTATGACTATATTGTTTATGGTCATTGTTATTGTAGATATTTGGTCTGTGCATGTGTTTGCTCAGACAGACACTGTGCCTGCCTGGTTTGTTAATGTCAATAAATTTTCTTCTTTTTTAAAAAATAATTTTGACTTTTTTCATATAAGAAATTAAGAAGGAGTTGACTTGAAACAACAAAGCTTTATTGGGAATTTTGCTTCATTATTATATTTCTAAATAGCAACCATTATAATGAAAACATAAAATCAAACCAGAGCATGCATGCTGCCACTAAACATTGTCAGAGAACCACCAGATAAAACTGTGACTAAGCCAAAACCAGCCATGTAATAAAATGTAATACATGGTTTGTACTTTAGAAATAAATTAAGGTCAAATTTTGATAAACATTCTCACAACCTTTCAACATTTGATTAAATATGTAAATAATATCTTGTAAAATAAGGTTGCAGAATTGTTAGACATTGGCAGGTTTGTTTTAGTTTCTAAGATGATTTCAAGACACAAAAAAATAACTTAAATCTAAAACCAAAACACTAACTTGACTTTCTCACAATAGTACAAATGTCAGTAATAGTCAGAAATATTTGATTGAAACCCCAAATTACAAGGAAAATTTTAAGTATAGTGAAAAGATGTGAATGACATTTATCATGAGTCTTTAAAACAAAATCTACCATGTTACCTCCAGCAGGAGTGAGCTGTTAAAACTTAAATAACATGAATGAGATTTAATAGCAGATGAAGTTGAGTCTGTTCTGGCAGTCCCAGTTCTCCCACACTCCCTCTTTGGTTAAAGCTCCACAGCGTTTATAAATTGGACACTGGTGGTCCTGATTTCCTCTCTGGGACCAGGCCTGGTACACCAGAGGGTCGTGGTTCACCCACAGCCAGTGGTCTTCCAGGTAACGCAGGCCGATCCACACCCGCTCAGTGATGTGGTCCCGCTTGATCCTGCTCAGGGCCAGAAGGTGCTCGGTCTCAGAGGCAAGGCTCATGAGTGCAGTATGTTCCTGTCTGCAGTACCACATGGCCTCCTCCCAGCTCTTCTCTGCCTCGACTATGATCAGGTCAAAGCAAAAAAAAGGCCACTGAGAAGATTTTCTGGTATTGTGCCATCCATTCCACGTACAGCCGTGCCAACAAATACAACCAAAAATCTGATTCTCAATGTCATCTGGTTGGCCTGGATCCCACGCTATGTTTGTTGCGTCTCCTCCTCCTGACCACTTCCACTGTGTTCCATCTATGTAGAGTCCGATAAAGAAAAAATTCTTAACTTTCTCAACTGTTGCATTTTTCAGTCTCTCCTCTTCCCATCTTGTAGTGATGGGGGACAGATCAGTGTGATGAAGTCTGCAGTACTGTTGAGCATCAGGCCATGTGTAGGCATGTTGCACATACACATGCTTTCCAAACCGCTGCGCCACACTTACAATAAAGAGCATCTTCAAAATCACAGTCTTCATGGTGGTGAAGTTTACAGACATTTGTAGAGATGAGTACAAAGCAGGTTGTGTTCAAGGTGAAGCCTGTGTTTCAGTGTGCTCCCTCCTCTGTTGCCTCTTCATGTAAGTCAGTGGACACATCCTGCTGTGAATAAACGTCACTGTTTGCATAAAAAATAATGCAAAATTAAACCTTGATATCCGGGGTGTCCTGGTAGCCTCGTTGAGACAGAGACAATGTGATCTTTTAATTCTAGCTGGGGGCCTTTGATGCATGTGAGCCCCTATCTATTCTATTCTTAATTTGTATTAAAATGTCTTAAATCAATCTTTCATTAGTCTTAAAAATGCAAATACAAGGAAAGAAGGATTTTGGTGTTTTGTTTTTCTGACATGGCATCGTAAACTCTCAAAAAATAAATGTTAAAAATATACTAAATGCCTCATGCATTAATGTCACCAGAAAGTTATGTTTAATGTTGCAATAAACATCCGGGCAAAATTGTCCCAATCCTAAGTAACTGATGTCGGTTAATGTTTGTTTTTTTCTTTTGGTTGTAGTAAATTTGGTCTTAGATTTCATTTAAAATAGAAATAAAAAGGCCTTAAAAGTCTTCAATCCCACTTAAGCTGCAGGAACCCTGTGCACTCCTTCATACATACAAAAGTCAGTGGAGGCCACGCAATGGGTTACTCTAGCCATGCTTGACTGCCAGGAAGTAAAATAAACCATGACACTGGTCTGCAATTCATCCGCTGGAGTCAATGAAGCCTCATCGCATTTACTTAGAAAGTTTTGCGTAGGAAGTTTATTTCCATTTGACCTTGAGACAGAAGAGGTGAAACTAGGTCCTATTTGGACTCAACATTCACCGTCTAACGGTACACAGGATTACACAATTGTTAAAATGATCAAAGCTGCAATTACTCTTAAAGGAATAAAAACACAAGGGTTTTTTTGGCTGAACAAGCACTTTATTATAATTGAAAACTGAAACCTTATCTTTTAAATGGAAGTATGTGTAAAAAGCGAGATAGGCCAATACATTTAAAACATTTGATGACCTGAAACAGGAATATAATTTACCCAAAACCCAATTCTGGAGATATCTTCAATAACGCCATGTACTACAGGGGACTTTTGGGCCCAGGTTACACCCCCCAAAGCCAGCAGAAAAGTTACTGTAGATAAAATCCTCCAGATACTGGGTAAAGGCCATGAAGCAGCTAAATATTATAGGATGCTGATGGAATGTGAGGGGGAGAAAGGGATCTCAGCCCTGAGACTTTCCTGGGAAAGAGACTTGGGGGTATCATATGATGAACAGGAATGGGCTAAGGTTTGTGGTAATTCCCTAACAATGTCAAGGGACTTGAGGGTTAGACTTATTCAATTTAAGATTCTGCATTGACTTTATTGGACCCCAAGCAGGCTCTTCAGACTTGGTTTAAAAGATTCAGCTACTTGTTGGAAGTGTTGTGTGGACGAAGGTACAATGATACATGTGATGTGGTCATGCCCTAAGATTTAGCAATACTGGATGAAGAATCACTGTTAAATTGTCAATGTCCTGTCATAAAAGGACAGTTTGTCCTCTGCCCCAAGTTATATATTAGGAGACTGTAAAGTGCTGTCAGCTTTTCCCTATCCACTAAAATCCTGGACACAAACTGCTATCATGATTGGGCAACAGATCATTTTCAGGAACTGGAAGAAACATGGAGAACCTCCTTTCCAGGACTGGGTGACTGAATTAGGTAAAGTAGCTGCATATGAAAGGATGTCATATAGGATGCAGGATGGAGCGGAAAAGTATTTCCTGAAGTGGGACATGTACCTTGACACTATATTTGCACCAATGTAAAGAATAACTGAATGCTCAATAATTGTCTAGAATAGAAGTGATTATTATTTATTTACTACTTTTTTCTTCTTTTTTCTTATTATTATTGTTATTTATAGAATTGTTTTTAATCATTATTTATTTATTTACTTATTTATTTTTGCTTGCGATATACATAGCCACCATATTGCTCAGATGACCCCTCTTTGTTATGGGTGGGAATGTTCTGTGTTGGAACACAGTGCATTTTGTATTATATGTGATGCCATTGGTTTATATATTATAAAATAATAAAATACAAGTCATAATAAAAGTGAGATAGGCAGTTCAAGAGGAGGTGCAGGGAGATAAACCATGATATACAAATTATAATCTAAGGAATGCTTATGAGATTATGTGAAGCATCATTTGCAAAAATTAGATCTTAGCAGTTATTAAGGTCCAAAAAGGTCTTCTACACTGTAGAAAATTTGTGACTAAATACAAATATTCAAGGCAAATTGAATTTT